TTGCGGTGCAGTTATTTTCTTGTCCTGAGGTTCAAGAGTAGCCCGGATGCTCCCCGAGCTCTTCCCTGTGAATCTCCGCGTCAACCCCAAAGACCTAAGAAACCGCGGAGCTGTAGGAAAACTGAGCCTCCTTCACGCAAGGTGCGCGGAGGGACACGGGGGCGCGGGAGGAGAGGACCAGGGAAGAGCAGCGGCCACTTTTGCACGAGGAACGCCTCCGGGTCGTGTGACACATTGACACCGAGCACTTACAGCACCTACCTGTTCTCTATGTTCTCTATTTCACGGTTTGGGGGTGAAATTCCAGTCATTCCATATCCCGAATCCTTCCGTAAAATTGGGTTCCACCTGCCTGCTTCTAGCTTATGATGTTGACCCGTGGAATTCCAGAGTTTGCACCTTAAAGATACGAGGCTTCCTACCTCAAATCTAGTCTTGGAAAGAGAAGAAAGAGCGGTCTCCTCCCCTTTGAAGCTGCAGAGGGAGAGACGCTTTCTTGTCCTAAAAGTGAGCCAAAGGATCTATTCAGATATGATGTCAAATTGAGAGCATTCACAAGAATTTCTGCTTTGTTATGCGGGCTTGTGTGACTATTTCTAACTGTTCCTAACTTCTTCTATTCTCTGGACAATAAATCTCTCCTTGGAAATTCGAACAAAGGGCTATAGTGAAAATCTGAACAGTTTACAAAGTGTTGCCGTAGCTGTGAAAGTATCTTCCCAAATGAAACCTGTAATTATGATTGGCTGTCTTGCTTGATATCTATTGTCATTCTGATAATGCTGAAATTAACTTTTCAGTATTACTAAACTGTACCAATATTTGAAGGACTTCTCTGCCACACTATAAGGCAGTCATTGGCGCTTACCTCCACCTACACACATGATGGCGGGGAGAGCGTGACTCTGCTAGATTTTTTATTTTCGTAAAAAGATTGAAAGGCTATGAACTCAACACACAGTTGGATTAGGACTCCGTGAAATAAGCACCTATTTCTTTAATATTATGAACCATCACATGATTAGTGTACGTGGAACCAATATAATCATAAACAGCACAATCACACCTAGTATGGGTTTGATCGAACTGTGGCAGACATTCAGAAAGACATTCAGAAAGACAGCAGAGCCCTGGTTTGGATCGTCCCTTTGACTGGCAGCCACCAATATTTGCAAAGGAATTCTGGGAAGTCAAAGGAGCTGTTTAACAGGATCGTGGAAAGGCCCCTCACATTCACTTTGTTCCACACATCTGAAATTGGAGAAGGTGCAGATGCTGTGTCACAGAGGCTGACAATAATGTAAAGAAACGTGAGAGTGGCAGACAGCGCAGTTTTCCATATGCTTGGGGGAGAAACCGGAAGAGGATAGTCTGTGAACTTGAATAGAAAAATATAATTTTATTTTGACTACTTAACCACTGAAATAACTGAAATTTTGTATTTTCTTCCATTATGAATATAGGCAACAAATCAGTTGTATTTTTTACTTTATTACTATCGGAAATCAAATATCTTCAAGTCAAATTTCAACTTTAATTTGTTGTGAATTTCTTAAATATCGTTTAAAACGTCATTATGTTCATTACTGCTTTGAAATTTCAGTATTTATTTGACCTCGTGATGGATATTTTCATATAGCACATTGATAAAAGAAAACAAATATTACTACATCATAACATTTTAGTATTTTGATAACATATTTCAATATAATTGGTTTCCCTTATGTAGTTATCTTTTTAATATTTAAAAGTATTCTTTTGTGACAGAGTCCATAACCACCAAACGGCCCTAGGCGTGGGTACACAGTACAAAACCTAGTCAGAAGGCCCCTGTTCTTTTGTCTAGAGAAGAATCCATAGCTATGTCTACTTTCATGTTTATGCAGGAACACGTGTATTTTTCTTAAGGACTGCTGCATCCTTACCAACTGAAAACAAGTATTTTCTAATCGCGATGTATACATTCTCAGCATCAGGCAGTTTTCCCCCATCTGCTTAGCAGCCCTCAATTTATTTACAATGTGCACGAGGCATGGGGATAACCTCCTCAGAAATATGGAGAGGCTGAAACGCACACGTAAGAGAATGTGCTTGCCGAGAAAGCAAACGAGTGAACTTTCATGTGTATGGGAGCTGGTGATGAGCCTTTAAAGGTGTCCGATTTTGAGATGTAGGCCCCTGCGGTCAGAGCAGCGTGAGGGTGCTTAGAGCAGAGTCTTGCTCAGTAATCATGTGAAATAATATTTTTGTAACGAGACAAGAAAGTCTGATCATGCCACCCTAAAGCAGCTTCCGGTTTCCTAGAGTAACAGCCAAAGCCCTTACAAAGGCCTGCGAGGCCAGAGGTCATGTCCAGGCTCGCCTGGCACTGGTTCTCTATTACTGGACCTTTCCCAGCCTGCTCCCACCTCCGGACCTTTCCCTGGAGATTCCCCAGTTCCAGATTACTCTTCTCCCTGACATCTGTATTTCTCCAAGCGCTCATCGCCATCATTTTGCTTATTAAACGGTAATCCGGGTGGGACGATGCACGTAGGTGATGCTGTGTGAGCGGGCTCCGGTCTCGCCTCCCCTCTGCAGTCAAGGAAAAGGCCACATCTAAGACCTTCCAAACCCACAGAGAATTTTCATAAGCGTTTCTTTGAGCCGATCTCACGACCTGCACGGAAGCAAGATCTCAAATACTCCGGAGAATGGCCGTTCTGCAGCTCCCCTTCCGCGTTTGGAATGAGGGAGGGAGGTCAGGAGATCACATGAAGGTGCGGCAAGCAAGGGGCAGACGGCTAACGAGACCACAGGCTCCAGGGAGGGTGGTTGTCCTCTGTGGGGGTCTGACAAGGATGGCGCCTGGCATTTCAAGGGCGTGTGACCTAGATGCACGCGGACAATGGGCGGGGCCGGCTTAAGGCCCAGCGAGCCTTTTACTGAAGACGCTGTAGACTTGGGCCTGACTGCCCACTGCGACCTGCCCAGTGAGGAGTTGGGTCAGGTCACCCCGTGAGGTCACTGTTGTCGCTGAATTACTACACAGTCCCTTTTTCGTGCGCAGTGCCCGACGTTCGTGTGTGCCAGCAGCGCCCGCCCTCGAGGCGCCACGGACCTGGGCCGCTGCAAGGACCAGGCTCTCAGCCTCACTGCTGATCCCGCGGGAACTGGAGCCGAAGCCGGCGCCGCCGCCTGGTTTCTGATGAAGAAATTCCGTCGCCCAAAGGCTCACGCGTGGGCCAGTGGCGCAATGGATAACGCGTCTGACTACGGATCAGAAGATTCCAGGTTCGACTCCTGGCTGGCTCGACGGGCGTGGTCACATTTTACCTCCTCCCTCCGCTGACCCCAGTGGGCAGAAGGGTCACGCGGGCCCGGCAGCGGCGCGGACCAGAGCCCGAAGAAGCGCGAGCGTTGTGCCCGCCGCGCGCCGGCGCAGCCAGCCAGTCGGCCAGAGGATGCTCGTCAAGTAACCTCAGCCAAAGGGGAAGCAATCAAAATGTGGAAACTGAGTCAGGGTTAAAGATGATGGGTCGTTTGGAACTGTTAGAGCCTCTCTTTTGTTCTCCCTATGCAGTCATTTCCGGTGCGAACGGTTAAGGACCTGTCTGCGGGTGGCGCCGCAGGGCCGTGGATTTTTTGGCGCATGCGCGGCCCGGGGGGCGGGGCTGCTCCTCCAGCAGAACCCCCGGCGCGGGCGCCTCCTTCCCCGGGCGTTTCCGTAGTGTAGTGGTTATCACGTTCGCCTCACACGCGAAAGGTCCCCGGTTCGAAACCGGGCGGAAACAAAGTTTTTTTCCTCGGTATGGAGAGACTTCCTGAAAGGTAATTTCACTTATTTTTTCATCAGTTTCACGCGCTCGTGAAACGTTCCCAGCCTCTCCCTGTCTCGCTCGCCCGGACCGGGGCGCTGCGGC